TGGACTGAGACGAGGTGGCAGGGCAGGGCTGCTGCCTTTGAGTGGGCGGCTGCTGGAGGTGGAAAAGGGAGGTCTGTGCTCCTGCTGCGACTGGACGGTCATGCGAAGAGCAGGAGATGAGCCGCGCGCACTGGCTGATGAATGGGGGAGCCGGACGAGGTAGGGGTAGGGGAAGAGAATGCATGGCGCTTGTGGTGCCGTGCTGATGACTTACACCGAAACGGCATTAAGTGAGTTGTGCCCATATGTAGTCCAGACCTACCTTAAGAGTGTCTCTGCACTATATATTTTATAGCAGTTTGAAGAGTTCCATCCTATAGGACTCTGGGGCTTGTACTTTCACAAAGCACCCAACATTCTGTTTTTCAGGAGAGGGAGCTTGAGCCACCAAGCCAAAACCTCTAAGTACTTTGATCACCATCATCATAGGCCATCAAGTCTGTTCTGATTTATGGTCACCCTTTTTCCAAGTAGAGAATGCTCAGTAGTGGTTTCCTTCTTCTGGGGCTGCCCTGGGACTGAGTAGCTTGCCCAAGGCCACAGAAAGGCTGGTTGAGATACTACTTGAGATACTACACTAGAAGGGTAGATGCTTATAATAGAGGCATAATTGGACTATGGAGTCTTCGGCCCCTTCCCACATCCATTCCACGGACAAAGCAACTCAATGAGCCCCATCCTAGGCTGACTGAACTATAAGGACCTTGAAAGAACATTTTCACACTGCAAAGCATTAAAGGTAAACACTTTCACATAGAAAGACATTAAGAGTGTCACTATTTGAAGTAATATTAATATTTCACTATTTGGAATAATATTAATCTTTAAACTTATCAGCTATTCATTTTCTACAAGTTGCTACCCGTTAAAGATGAGTTTTCAGTCAACATAATTTAGGAAAGGGAGGGGGGAAACCAACTCACTTCTGAACAGCAATACTGCCACCTCGTGGCCATACTGTAGTGCAACTGTAGCCGACAGCTCTCACACACAGGCATGACCAGTTCTGCAGCAGAGATAGCTTCAAGTGAAAGTTAAATAATAATAAAAACAACAACAACCCTGAAGTAAATTATTCACTTGTCAGAGAATATAGCAGCTCATAACAGCTGAAATGAAACATCTACAATCAATGCATTATGAACAGGAGATTCCAGACAAGTCAATGCATTTTGTGATCTTCAGTTACTGAAAAAGCCCTCTCACACCCTCTTTGGGGGGCTACTTAAAAAAAACAAAAAAAAAACTGATTCAAGTTGTACAGGAGACCCATAAGGGGCTCCAAACCTTGGGGGAGCTCCCTCTAGAAGACATAAAGGGAACTCGTTGAGCAAAATTGTTAAGAAAAGTCGACACTGGTGTGGGCGGGCTAGTGGCTCGAGGTGCCCATGTAGTCGGCGGTCCCCTTGCCACTCACAGGCTGCACTTGGCCCAGCGCTCCCCGGGGAGGGCATCCTTTGGTTGGTTGGTTGAAGATCAGCGAGGTGCTTCAGCCCTATCAGCCATTCCTTGATTCCCGTTCTCCCCTTTAACCATTCCAGAATGCTGCTGCCAGCGTAACAAGGCATGGTTGCCGGGATCAAACGTCCTCCCTGTTACAACAACTCCTCTGGCTGTTGGGTTTACAAGCACTATTCAAAGTGCTGTTTTTTGACTTTTAAAGGCCAAAATAAGTGGGGCCCTGGCTATCTGAAAGAACTTGTCTCCCTTTACGAGCCTACATAGATTTTAGAATTATTAAGGGAAGCTTTTCTCCTTGTCCTGCCATTCTCAGAAGTGTGTTTGGTGAGTACAGGAAAGAGGGTCTTCCCTGTGGCTGCTCCCAAGCTGTGGAACTCCCTCCCACAAGAGGTCAGGGGACCACTTCTCTGCTACTCTTCAGGCAGGCTGACTTTTCCCTCGTCAGGCTGCCACTTCTCCGCTACTCTTCAGGCAGGCTGACTTTTCCCTTGTAACTGGCTGCTTAAGAGAGGCACTGCTGTCTCCTCCTTTCCAGTTTTAATGTTTCTTTTAATACTAGAAGCTGCCTTTGGTCCTCTGAAGGAGAAATATGTGTGTGTGTGTTTGTGTGTGCGTACACATATACTACCTTTCTCTTTATAACCTACTTTTCTCCTTCAGAGGACCTAAGGCAGCTGATAGTCTTAAAAGAAACATAAAAACTGTGGAAATGAAAGGGGACAGCAGTATATACAGACACAAGACTGTTGCATGTTCTTCATATCTTTCATGGATGTGCAAACCATTTGGTTTCCATTTCATAAACTAGATTAGAATGGTATGTCTATTTTAAACAACTAAATAGTACTTTAATTTTGTAGGTGTGGCATTACCTTGTTTCCTTTACTGTGAATGGATTACCTTTTTTTGGCACTAAAGATTGATCTTTCACATAGTGTGAAAGAACAGTAATGGGAACATTCAGACACAACTTATATTACAAATAATCCTCTTTCTTTGACAGCCATATTCATTTATTCTTAAACAGAATTAGCATGCATTGTTGAAATCTTGTTATGCATGTTTTATGTTTCGGTTCACAAGGAAAGGCATGTGGGTTTTTGAAATTTGCTTTAGTTTAGTACTGAAATAACTGGAGCAACTGTTGTGCTCAGCTTCTCTGGCTACATCATTGGGGATCAATATTTGATAAATAATGGACAATACCCAAACCAAAATATAATCTAGTTTTTTTTTTCTGTTTCACTGTTATTGCTTTGAATTACTTCCTACACAAACTTCCTAAACATACAGTGCCCTCTGTATGGGATGTTCATGGATAGGGAATAAACGTATTTCACAAATACATGCATAGAGGACTTAACACCCACTATTGGGCCCCTTCACGGATTGCTGCCTTGTTGTGGTGAAGGGGCTTGAGTAACTCAGAGAAGCTATGGGCTATGCCATGCAGGGACACCCAAAATGGACAGGTCATAGTGGAGAGTTCCGACTAAACGCAATCCACCTGGAGTAGGAAATGGCAATGCCACTCCAGTATCTTTGCCAAGAATACCCCATGATCAGAAACAAGAGGCTAAAAGATATGACCCTGGAAGATGGGACCCTCAGGTTGGAAGGCGTCCAACATACTACTGAGGAAGAGTGGAAGACAAGTACAAGTAGCTCCAGAGCTAATGAAGTGGTTGGGCCAAAGCCGAAAGGACACTCAGCTGTGGATGCGCCTATAAGTGAAAGGAAAGTACAATGCTACAAAGAAAAATACTGCATAGGAACCTGGAATGTAAGATCTATGAACCTTGGGAAGCTGGATGTGGTCAAAAAGGAAATGGCAAGAATAAACAGTGACATCCTGGGCGTCCGTGAACTAAAATGGATAGAAATGGGCGAATTCAATTCAGATGATTATCATATCTACTATTGTGGGCAAGAATCCCATAGAAGGAATGGAGTAGCCCTGATAGTCAACAAAAGCATGGGAAAAGCTGTAATGGGATATAATCTCAAAAATGATAGAATGATGTCAGTATGAATCCAAGGCAGACCTTTCAACATCACA